GGATTTTTATGACATTGCTGTCACAGTCACGTATTGTTTATTATCAATTATGATTATCAATTGATATACTTTCTATATTGTTAGTTAGTGTATTTATAAACTCACAACAATGTGCCTTACTACCATTGATAATAACAATGCTGTGTACCTGCTAATATCGATGTCATAAAAAACCAATTAGCTACCTGTACTTGTAATCCTTTGTATAGTATACATGTATATTAACTCAAAAATTTGAAACTTTAAGTGTTTATATCTAATAAACAAATAAAGTTATACTAAAAATTCCAATGCCATTTACTATTAAATTAAAAACTCAAACATTTTATTAAATTCAAAATATTTGTTCCCATTTAAAAAAAACAAAGTTGACACCCTTACCAGACATAAGGGATAAACTTAAAAAGTATTACATAGTTAATAATTCAAGAATAATGTGTAACTAAAAAAAAACAAAAAAAAAAATGTTGAAATTATTATTACTCTGTAAGTAATTGAGTGGGTTATGATAAAAAAATCACTCTGTATATCCCTAGGAACCTTATCACCTAGTGACGTAATCACTGGGTAATAATATTTCATTTTGCCAATATACAAAATATAATTATAGAATTTTTCAGTGAGTCATCACTAAGTTGATCTCAATTAATTAAATTGTTATTATTTTTTAACATTTTTATTGACTACCTTATTCTTCCAGTTCTAGTTCTTTAGAATTATTAATTTTTTAAATTAGTTTTATAGTTTTAATAATGAATTAAGTGTTAATAAATATTCAGCCAGTGGAGAATTCTGAACTTCTTGATTTTTAATGTTTTTTGAACCTTAACCCCAATGTTTTATTTTTGTTTAAACATGACATTAAATTTAAAAAAGTCATAAAACATGTCAAATTTTTTAATAACTGTACTTAAAAAGACTTCTAAAATAAAAGTGCAATTTTTCAAAACATAGAACAAGATAAAATAAATATTAAATAAGCTTATAGTTTAAATAAAGTTTTGTATGGGTAAAATTGTTTTTATTAATTTAATTTAAAAATGAATTTTATAAACTAATGAAGGCACAGAAATAAGAAATCCATTATCACTTCTTTTGCAGAACTTTTCATAATTAGGTTCGAAACCAATTTAAAAAACACTTATGCCAAATTTTGGGTTAGGTGTATAGATGTTATTTTTGCAATATTAAACAAAGAGTGAAATATATAGGAAAAACACATACATGTTCAGGTAAATTACGAAAAATCCGAACCACAGCCAGCAACACAAAATGGTAGCTTTTAATAGTATGGTTTACAGATTAGTTAATATTCCGATAAATAAAATAAGATTTGATAAAGAACTGTTGATTAAAAAATAAATAGGTAGACTTAACGGGTACAATAAAAACGTAATTTCAAAGTTAGTCCGAACACTAAAGTGAAATAAAGAAAGGAAAGCAGCTAGCGCGGGGGAATAAAAAGTAATTAGCTTATATAATCTGGGAATCTCAAATTGACTTCGAAAGAATTTAGGTATAACTTTAGGAATATCTAAAATTAATAATTTAAGAGATTTATTAGTTAACCCTAAGGATAAAGTAGAAAGCGAGGAAGAAGAAGAAGAATGTTTAAAGAAAAATTGCAAATTACAATTGATCACTCAGTTTGGAAGTAAAAAAACCAATTAAATTATGAAATAATTTGTCAAATCTAATTACACCATTATATTAGCGCCAAAAAATACATATGACTGTTTTTAAAATATTTACGTTTTTAATTAATTTTATGTATTTAATGTAGTTATTAAAAGTAAATAAATGTTCAGCCACAGGAGAATTACTGACTTCTTGATTTTAAATGTTTCATAAATGTTCTTTAAACCTTAACATAGGAGTTTTATTTTTGTTTAGTTACGTAACATTTAATTAAAAAAGTCATAAAACGTGTCATTAAAAACTGTACTTCTAAAAGACTTATAAAATAAAACAACTAGTGCACTCACTAGCGTCGGGAAACAAAAGTAATTAGCTCCCCCATTTTATATTATCTGAGCATCTCTAATAGAATAACTAGAATTTTTAAGAATTTCGGTATAACTTTAGGAACATTTAAAAATAATTTAAGAGATTTATTAGTTAACCCTAAGAATAAAGTAGAAGAAAGAAAAATCTAGCATTTATTAAATGCATTGTGAAAGTTGTAATAAATGTTACGTAGGCCAGTCAAAAATAAAACATAGGGATCAAGGTTTAAAGAACATTTATTAACATGTTTTTATTTAAAGGCAGATAAGGGGAATTCTGTTGTAATATTAAAAAAAGAAGATTATTATGAAAGAGTATCAAGAATGATTCAAGAGGGTCCTTATAAAGAAATTAAAAAGAATCCATTAAGTAAAATGATAAGGGAGGCTACAAACGTCATAAATAGTTCAAAATTAATAATCGAAGAAAAGTTCAGGTTTTTCATTAAAATTTCAAACCCTCAAATACCTAAACTATATGCTTTGCCAAAAATACATAAGCCAGGAAGTACTATGAGACCTATTGTGTCGAATATTAATGCTCCGACTTACAATTTGGCTAAACACCTAGTAAGGGTATTTTCATCTTTCAAAAAATTCGATAGTTTTTCAGTTAAAAATAATATTGATTTAGTTAAACAATTATCTAGTTATACCATTCAAAATAATGACAGGTTAATTTCTTTTGACGTAGTTGCCTTATTTCCGAATATTCCAATAAATATAACAATTGATTTTCTTAAAGACTGGCTAAAGGACCAAAACATTGAACAGGATAAAATAAATGAGCTTATTAATTTAACAAAGTTATGTATGAGTCAAAATGTTTTTCAGTTTCAAAATAAATTTTATGAGCAAACTGAGGGCACAGCAATGGGAAATCCGCTATCACCATTTTTAGCAGAACTTTTCATGAGTAGGTTTGAAACAAATTTAAAATACACTTATGGTGATTTTCCAAAAATTTGGGTTAGGTATGTCGATGATATTTTTGCAGTTATAAATAAAGATTTTAATATGGGGGTTTTCATACAACATTTAAATTCTTTTTACCCATCGATTAAATTTACATATGAACAAGAAATAGAGGGAAAATTGCCTTTTTTGGATTTATTAGTTAAAAGAACAGAGGGGGAACTAAATTTTGAAATTTATCGGAAAAACACACACACGTTCAGATACATTCCGAACACATCGAACCACACCTGGCAACACAAATTGTCAGCTTTTAATAGTATGGTTTACAGATTAATTAATATTCCGATGAATAAAATAGATTATGATAAAGAATTGGTGGTTATAAAAGAAATAGCTAAATTTAATGGGTATAACGAAAACATAATTTTGAAATTAGTCCGAAAACAAAAGTGGAAAAAAGAAAGGAGGGCAGCTAGTACACTCTCCAGCGAGGGGGAACAAAAAGTAATTAGATCACCAATTTTATTTTATCCGGGCATCTCAAATGGATTAACTAAAATATTTAAGAATTTTGGTATTACTTTGGTAACATCTAAGAGTAATAATTTAAGAGATTTATTAGGTAACCCTAAAGATAAGGTAGATGAAGGGGGGAAATCAGGCATTTATAAAATACAATGTGAAAGTTGTAATAAATGTTACGTAGGACAAACAAAAAGAAATATAGGGGTCAGGTTTAAAGAGCACTTAAGAAATATTAAAAATCAAGAAATTGAGAAATCTCCAGTGGCCGAACATTTATTGACACATAATCACTCTATTAAAACCATAAAACTAATTAAAAACGTAAATAATTACAAAGAACTTAATATCAGAGAAGCAATAGAAATGTTTAAAAATAAAAACAATTTAATTAATTGGGATCTTGGCCCACTGAAAAATTCATTATTAAACTTGTGTAAACTGGCAAAATGTGATAATATTACTTAGTGATAACGTCACTAGGTGATAAGGTCACTAGGGGTATATAAGGGAGTTTTTTCTAGTCGGGGTGTCAGTATGTGTTTAGCGTTGATAATGGTAACATTGTTTCCGAAATACGTATCCGCGACTTTTCATTAATTTTTTTGTGGCTTTTGAGTTTAATATTTTTAATATTTTTTAGTTTTTTTAAATTAATAATATTTTTAATATAGTTTTAATTTTACTTAATTAACTAGCCACAAGTGATCAATTTTTATTATACGTTATTAAAGCTATAAAACTAAATAAAACATAAATAATTCTAAAGAACTAAATATAAGGTAGTCAATAGAAATGTAAAAAAATAAGAACAATTTAATTAATTAGTATCTTGGCTCAATAAAAAATTCAATATTAAACTTTTGTAAACTGGCAAAATGTGATATTATTACTTTGTGATAACGTCACTAGGGTTATATAAGTGTTTTTTTATTGGTCGGGGTGTCAGTATGTGTCTAGCGTTAATAATGGTAACATTGTTCCTGAAATACATATCCTTAATATTTTAGTAATTTTTTTTGTGACTTTTTAAATTAAATATTATTAGTTTTAGATTAATATTTTTAATATAATGTTAATTTTAAATAATATTAGCCACAAATGATAAATTTTTATTATATAGACAATATAATTCAACAAATTGTCATTTCATCACATAAAGTGCAACACCTCACATCTCATTTTTTCTTATTTTTTAGGGAAGCAAAAAATTTAACATACTCAGAATGATTTTTATTTAGAGTAATTTTTTTTTTTTTATAATACTTTTTATATAGTAGTTTATCTATAAAACGTAAATTATTTATTAAAAAATTAAAAGTTTGATTTATATTATTAACTTATTTTTTCCAAAATTTAGATGTGAAGTGTTGCGCTTAAAAATTACAATTTTTTCCGTTACAAAAATTAAAAATAAAAATTTTAAAATAATTCATCTTTTGTAAATTTAAATTTTTAATTATTAATTTAATAAATTTTAAATTCATTTTAGGCAGAGGCTAATCGTAAAAATTAACATAAAAAGTGTTAATTAATCGTATTTATAATACATACCCTCGTTGCTAGTAATATTTTTGTAAACTGATCTGCAGAGAGGACAAGTTTTTTTTCTCTTAATTAGACACTTTTCAAAACATATCTTACATATAGGATGATTACAATCCCATAAAGTAATATCAGCATTTTCACAGCAAATTGGGCATTCTAATAAATAATAACTTACAAAGTAACAATTATCTTTTGCCGTATTGTTAATGACAATAATCCTTTTCTACAAATTTTTATATGGCACTTATAGTCTCTGACACATTCTTACAGATTCGTAATAAACAGAATGTTCAGTAAGTAAGGAAACAGGTAAATTGTTACAAGCAATGAGAATAATAGAAACCCGTTTCTTTACTTACTGAACACTCTATTTATTAAATATATACAGAATGATTCCTTAACTACGCGCTCATGAAATATCATTAAAAACATTTAAGCTAATCATTATTTTATTTTTTTAATAGAATTGGATCTTTGCTTATGTTATTGTATATAATATGTTATGCTACCATTCCTTATACCCTAAACTCATATCAACTTTTGATTTTCAAATGGCAACATTGATTATTTTTTTATATATTAGATATATTTAATTGAAAAAAAATTGTGTTTTTATTTCTAACTGTTTTTAACTGTCTAAAATTTAAGAGCTATCAGTAAAAACGTATATCTATTGTTAAAAGAAGGCATCTTTATGGAATCGTAAATTGATAAATGCTAACAGTTAATAATATGATTGGATGTATAATTTTTCGTATTTCTATGAACTAGTAATGATTAAAATAGGTACACTTTTTTTTCTGATTGTCCCTAAACTTTAAAGAGCTCTAACTCATTAAAATAGAATAATATAAAAAAAATGTTTTATTTGAATAATTCTGATAATATAAAAAAAAATTGTGGTTGCCATTTAAAGTATAGGATAAATTTAGGGTATCATCAGGGATGATAGCAGAACATTATTTTTTTCTATAAAATAACTTATAGGGGTTTCAACATACATATTTAACCACCTTATAAAATAGTAAAAATCTAATTAAGAAAATAAAAAATTGATACCCCTAGAAGGGATAATTCTAAAAATTAATTTATATATGAAAAATCAAGAAATAGATGTAATTAAAAATATTAAAAATTTGTGTTCCAAATATTTTATTTATTTCAAGAGAAATTGAGTGGTTTATGATAAACCGATAACCCCATATATACCTAATAATTTCTTATGTACAACCTGTATCATTCTGTATACCTGAATATCTAATGATATCTATATCTATATATATACAGGGTGTTCAGTAAATAAAGAAACGAATTTCTATTGTACTCATTGTTTGTAACAATTTAACTGTTTCCTAACTTACTGAACACCCTGTATATATATAATCTTTGATATAAATCCACATTTAACCTCTTCCTATTTAATATTTTTAGAATATTGAACTAATTTTATTTCATAATAAAATATTCACCTCTATAACCTACTTCTTTGCTACTATATGAAATAATTAAAAACTTGACAAAGATAACTAAGTTAAAACTATAAATATACATATATTTCAATCATAAAAATGTTTTATTAATACAAATTCTAATAATAGTAATATAAAAAATATTTCTATCACAGTCTTAACTTGAAAAATCTGTCTGTTGCGTCTATAATCCAATATTCTATTTTATAAATTTGAATTAAAAACCTGTCGGGCGACTATTCCACCACATTGATAACCCTATCTATCTCTCACTCAAAAAGATATGCATTTCTTTAGATAGGACTACGAATGTTTCTGTGACGTCTAAATGCTTCAAACCCTGTAGCCTCACATAAACTTTGCTAATGTTTTAATATCATTTCTTTATAAAATATTAGATTTCGAATATACATTAACTTAAACTACTGTATAGATAAATTATAAATCAATATTTCATTATCATTTTAATAGATTTAGAATAATATGTTAATTACTTACCTTCATCGATAGGTTTGTCTAAAAAAAAAAATACACCCCCTATTAATATTATTTGATAATCTAAAGATTGACATTTTTTTAAGAATTGTTTTTAGCTTCGATGTGTAATTGACAATTTATTGGTTTTACTATGACGGGATTTTTCATGGTCAATTATAAGAATTTATCTACTTCTATTGGTTCGTGTTACTTGACGATACAATAAAATAATATTATTTGTATCAGATTGAAGCTATAAGTTAATACGATATTAGGAGCCAATATAAACTGAAACTTGGCAATAATTAAAATCATTATCACAAAGCGCTTTGAAAATAATTTGATTTTAGATAGCTCTCTCATTACATATTATATCAATAGAACTGTGTAGTCCTAAACATTCAATCACTGAGAGTCAGGTTACTATACTATAAATTAAGCTAAGTCGCTTTAATATCGAAGCTATCCTTAGAACAATTATACTTTAATCTAATAAAAAATTTAAATAGAATCATATCATATTTACTTACCACGATCTATTATTAATACAGTTTCATTAATAAATTGTTCAAAAAGTTGGTTGGTTTCAAACAGACTTTGAATTTCTTGATTGATTTTAAGATTCTAGTTTTTTTTTTTAATTCAATTTCATTCAATTATTATTAAAAAATCAAATACTGAAGTTATTAGCAATATAAGCTTACTTCTAAAATATTCCTCATAAATCGTTGTGATAACGTCTGGTCTCCACATATAAATTCAGACAAAACTATATACATAGAACGTACATCAAAGAATTTATCGACTGGAATCATAAATGGGGTAAAAATCTGTCTAGAGATTGTCTTTTTATAAGTAAAGCCCAAGCTACTACATTTATCTCTTTTCCAGTCTTCATCAACTGGATTATAATAAAGAGGCGTTTTAATAGATTCTAAGACTACATGCCAATCACTTACATCCAATACAAATTTTTCTATAAATTTAAAGCCCTGAAATTCATTAAAATAAATAATATAGAAAATGAATATTTTTATAGAACAGTTATTTTTTAATAATTCTAACAATTAAAATTTCGTTAACTTTATAATTAAATTAATTAAATTTAGAGTGTTCAGTAAGTGAGATATAGGGTTTTTATTGTAAAAATTGCTCTGATTCCTTACTTACTGATCACTCTGTATAGCTTACCCTATATACTTTTTTAAAATTATTGACAAATATTAATTATTTATACACATAAGATAAAATAAATTAAGGTATTATTTCTTTAAGACCAATAAAATTTAAAATTTCATACATGAAGTGCATAGGGATGATTTTTTTAAGACTACATGTTTTGTTATAAAATACTTTGTTCTCATATCTCGTTTAAATATTATTAAAATAGTTTGAGATAATTATTTTATATATATATATATATATATTATATATTGATAATTAATGCAGAAAGCAATAAAAAAAAATTATTCAAATCATTCCTTGCATACCTAAGATAAACTAAACATGGCTGATATTAAACTATTAGTTAATAATCGGATGATGTGTAAAACATCCATTATTAAAACTATTTTAATTTAACGCTGATAAAAAGTACCTATTTGAAGATTGTTAATACAATAAAAAGTTTTAGATATATTTACTTGATTTGAGTTTACGCTTTGAAACAAACTTAACATTGCAATGCTTTTTAAAAATTTAAGCATTTTTTTCAACTTGAGTTCTATATAATAAACATTTATTGTTTAATTTTTTATTTAATCGTGTATCAATAGTGTTTTTATATTTTTTCAGGTTAAAAGCGACTTTTTTGTCGATTGTCAACTAAACCAAACCTTCTTTTGAAAATAAATGATTAAGTAAGTATTATTTGAACAAATGTAATTCAGAATTAATATCATTTTATTCATGTAGAAAAGATTAGTACAAAATAAATATATTATGAATTTTTAGAAATGTTTAGAAACATTAATTTTAAATGGTTAAATGCGAAAAATGTATTTTTAATTTCATAAAAATTGTGTTTTTGATTTATTACATAAAACAAAAAATAATAATAATAATAATATTCGAAGAAAATGATTTATTTATAAGTATAGCATACAATATTCATTATTTAAATAATAATAATAATAAAATATTTACTTAAGTAAGATAAAGTTAGGAAAGAAAATAATTAACGATCATTTTTAACAGTAAAATAACAGAATGAGAAACTTTATTAAACTAGAAAAATGATTACACGAAACTTTTCAATTATATCAATATTTTAATATCCTCATTCTGATATAATGACATTAATTCTAAAAAATTAATCAATTTCAGGAATCCAATCGATCATCACTTCATAGCCATCTTTATTTTTAACAAATGTTTTATATGATTTATCTTCCAATTGTTGAAAAACCAAAGGGCCGTTTCCGATTGCTTCTGTTATTGTAGGATAAAAGGAATCGTAGTTTTGTGGCCGAATAATGCACTGATTTTTAATACAGATTGGATAGAATCTATACGTTTTAACTGAATAATCAGTAGATCTTATCATCGCAATTATTTTACACCTCACATCGTAACGATTGAAATGATGACACATAAGTTTGGTCTTTTCTTCTTTTAAAATAAAAAATTTCATTTTTTTAACATGATCATTTGACATATAACATATAGATACTAAATTAAATGAATATTAATTTTTGATTACTTAGTTACTAAACTATTTAGATTTGAGGATGAATGTCATTAAATCGATATTTATAACTTTCCAGGAAATATTTATTGTTTTTGTATATCACATATGGAACTAGAGTATTTAAAAGTTTACAACTACTTGTAAGATATAAAAATTTTTTTACTATTCCCACCATAAACCCCTTAATTAAAGGTTAATCCAAAAGGTTAATCAAAACTTGTACTAATTAAGAAAAAAAGGAAATATTAAATTTTCAAAAAAATTATTTAAAGTAAAATTTAAATTTATTAGATTATTATTTCAACATAAAAACGAAAATTCTACTAATAAGAAAGAAATAATATTGTTATATCCTTTTTAACAAATTAAAGTCTTTTTAAATTTGATACAAAACTCATTATTATACCCATGAAGCTAATTTTTATTATTAAAATATGTCATATAAGTTATCTTACTAATAATTAAAAAAATTAACTTTAATTAAAAAATTAATACTTCTTTATATTTGTACAATATGTAATATAATATCTAGAATAATATATTTTTTACCTTCTGTCGTCACAGATCTATCTAAAATTATCATTTAGAATATTACAGCATTATGATAAATTAACACACACGAAATCTATATGATTTTTAATCTATTTTATATAATACTAACATTTATACTATATACTAAAATAAAAATGAAACCTAACCATTGGCGCCGGAACAGGAGGGCAGGAGGGGAGGCAGTTGCCTTCTCAAAAAAAAAAATTACAAAAAATCTGGAAATTAATATAACACTACCATACTTAATTATTTAGGTATTTAGATTTTAGGATTAAAAAGTGTTAATGAATTTACCTAACCCCAGTTGAATATCAAAAAACGGTAGCACAATGTGGACGTGGCATAGTTGAGACAAGTATAGATGATATTTGACAGTGATTAAAATCACTATCATAAAAAACGCTTCAATGCAAATCTGTAGATAGTGTTTAATTTTAAAAAATTGGTCGGTTATTCCAAAAGCAAAATTAAAATCTATTTTTTGTCTTACATCGACTGTCATTTCACATAGAAAATAGGTCGTCGGTACAAATGTTTTTTTTTAAACTTCTAGTACATAAAGTAAGCTTTATTTAAATATATATTTAAAAGACGCAGGTTTTCAAAAACTAATTTGAAAAAGTTCTACTTTTTATACAAATTTTCAAGTTTCCAAAAAAAAATTTCTTAACTTTGAAGAGTCAAAATTTTTAAAATAAGTATTATTTTATATTTTATGTATGTTAGATTCATGTTAATTTTATATTTATCGGTGGACTCATTACTATGGCAAACACTTAAAAGGTATTTTAAAATAAACAACAAATAAAATTTTAACATAAAAATAGCATGTTTTTTAACTACAGCAGCTATTTGCATAAAGAACAAAATTTTTCAGGAAAATTTTTTTGTTTAATTTGTAGTACGTAACATAAGTTTAAATTTGACATATTTTTTAAAAATGCAGTGTTTCCAGAACATTTTTAAAACTTAAGTTGAATATGTTGAGCTTTGTAAAAAAGTTACTATTTTGAATCGTCCTCTATGGGCAAGTAAAGGATCAGATTTTCAAAAAAATTATATCAAATAAAAGGAATATGCATAAGGTTTCAATATATAAAAAAAAAATTTTGGTTCTTTTATTATTCAATAAGTTATGGAAGTTTTAAGCACCAAAATAACATTAATTTTTTTCACGAAAATTACAATTCTGTTCAATTGTCGGTCATTTGCACATAGAAAAATTTTTTATCTTATCTTTTTATCTAGTACATAATGTAAGCTTTAATTTAACATATATTTAAAGGACACAGTATTTCCGGAACATTTTCAAAAGTTAAGTTGAAAAATTTATACTTTTTATACGTATGTTTCAAGTTTTGAACGACCCCTGTAGGGCGAATTGACCCATTTAAAAAAAAAGTACATCGGATGAAAGAGGTATATATTATGTTTATGTGATTAAAAACAAAAATTTGTGTTGATCTATACATTTTTCAAAAAGTTATATTAATTTATAGTTGAAATTTAAAATCGAAAATTTGAACCCAAAAATAGCATGTTTTTTAACTACGGCAGCCGTTTGCACGTAGAAGATAAGTAGTTGGGACAAATATTTTTTTAATTTATAGTAAGTATTATAAAATTTAATTTGACGTATGTTTAATGAACGCAGTATTTCCGGATTATTTTCAAAATTAATGTTGAAAAAGTTTAATTTTGTAAAATAGTTGCTATTTTTAATTCCCTATTATAGGCAGGTAAAGGATCAGATTTTCAAAAATATTATTTCAAATAAAAGTGAATTACTTAAGATTTCAATATAAAAAAGAATTATTTTGATTTGTTCATTTTTCAATAAGTTATGACAATTTTTAGGAAAAAAAGTGAAAAAAGGTCGAAATTTATCAATTTTAAAAATCATAATTTTTTGGGAGATTTTCACTATATTAGGGGAACGAGGGCAAAATTTTCAATTTGGGTAATGTTTTCAATTAGATACAATTTTTGATCTTTTGACTTAAATAAAAAAACACATCATAGCAAAATTAATATCTTCTCAACTTCGCATCGAAGCTAATAATGTGCATTATTAAGAGTAAAATTTATAAATTACTGAATTTTTTTTAAATTATCACTAAAATCCATTAAAAAATAGCTCAACCCGCTTTTTACTTAGTAACAATCAAAGAGACAGAGTTTTAGTCATTAAATATTTGCCTCCATGTAAAAAATAGTTCCGGCGCCTCTGAATCTAACATTTTGCTAATTAAATTGTACTTAATATTAATTATCATATATAATTAATATAATGATATGTTAGAAATAACGGGTTTTATTAAAATTTAATAATATATATATATATAAATACATATTTACCAAATTGCATTGAATAATCAACTAAAATAATTATTTACAATATTAAAATTTTTAATTATTTAAAAAGTAAAAGGTGTTTTGTTTTATAGGGAATGCCAAAATAAAATAATAAATCCACTCACTATAAAATAGCGAGTTAATCATTATTTATTAGTGTCTCTCGTATAGTGGTTATCATAATAAAACGTACATTTGTTAAGGTAGTAAAGATATTTTAAAAATATTTCTTTCATAATCTTCTTGCGATTTTTTACTTGAGTATCGTAAAATACATTTTCTGAAACAAAATATAAAATGTTAATTATTTGATATAAGATGTTAGATGTTACTACATTGTATAACTAGTAATTATTTTTGTATATTCCAATTTTTCATTATATATATATATCCCAAAGTTTGAGAGGTTTTTTAAATTTATAACACATAAATATAAATTACCTAATATGAATTGCCCCTACTAAAAAATATTTTAATTTTTCTTGGGAAGATATATTACATTATATTTTTCTTATTGACCACTCAAAAAAATAAAATGTAAAGCATTACAATAAAAATATTTTTATAATATAAAAGATCAAAAGGAGATATTTTTCTAATCAAAAGAAAATCTTAGGTCCACCCTTTAAATATTTGATGACTGTTTTGCTCATTATCATATTCTTTTAATTAAACCAATTGAAAACATATATGCGGTCGTTTGTGTAATCGTCCCGTTAAAACTTCCTAAATGTTCATGTTTACTATTATTACGTTTGAGATAAGTCTTCAAAGCAGGAGTTTTACATAATGGGCAAAACAACTTATTATGTCCAATCATATCATATAAACAATTCTGACACATCAAATGAGTACAATCTGCTATGCGTACTGGATTTTTTGGTTCAAAATAGCATACAGGACAATCTACATCTAAAATTTAATTGGTGTTTATAAAAATTTGAAATTAATGACTTCTTTTTATATTTCTTGTATAATATAAAAATATTATCAATATATCATGGCATAAATAAATATAAAACCAATGAGTATACTTACCATCAAGCCTTTCAGTAAATGATTCTATACGTTGGAAAATTATTGTCAAGCGTTTATATTTTAAGTTTAATAATGCATTTGAAGGAATTTTTATTATGATATAGTATACCATTTAATTAAAAAATTGTTTTGATTATAATTATCAAATGATATCAAATCAAATTATGAAGAAATATATGAATATTGGAAATTTATTTTAACCTTTAAGAGGTACCAATGATTAATAAAATTCTCTTTCATAAACTTTTGATATCATGTTAAAAATTAAAAATATAATATAATATACTCACCATTATTTGTTAAAGTAATATCTGAAAAATAATTTTGAAAATTAAATACTTTTAATAAAAGTTTTAATAAAATGATTCATAATTATAGCTTTGAAAGCAAGAATATGTATTTTTTTTTAATTTGGATTTACTTAAATAGTACCGGGTATGTATATAAATAGATATAATCTAATTAAGATAATTTACTTTTTTGTATCGATAAAAATTGACAGTCTAGATCTAGGATTTTAAATGTGCTGTGTTAGAGTCATTAGATTTAAAATAATTTTTAATGGATTCGACAGGATAGTGTTTAAAAGATTTATATTTTTATGTAAAGCTGGATATTTTTATAAAAACATCCGACTAAATTTTCGGATGAGAAAATATTAAAATAATTAAAATGGAAAAAAGATATATTTTTAAAAAAAGTTTTATTTATAACTATTTGTTGTTAACATATTTTAAAAATCCCTACCTTTTGAATAAGTCTTATAGTTTTAGCTATCAAACTTTAAGTTGAACTTCGATAACATGACAAATATTGCCAATATAATTTAGATACTTTTTGATCACTATTCTCAATTGAGAGACTCGGGTTTTATGAATTCGATGTTACACGGAATGAGAGGCATAGGAAATGATACCCAAATTACAAAATAAATGTATCAAAAATATGTATTTCGGAAAGGAAATAAAAAAATGTCTAATACATTTTTTTCCAACTCAACATCCTAAGACCGCCTCTAGAGTGAATCCATTATAGGCTCCGTAACCTGGATTTAAGGTTTGAATATGTAATCTACTTAAAATTATTATATTTAAAATTAAGTTTCTAAGATACTACAAGTATTTTTTTTTCATCTTTCCAAAAAGAAATGTCCGTTTTAAATATAACACCGTTATACATATATGTACAGATGAGTATAGTTTTACCAAGAAACACATAAAATACCAAACGAAAAAAAAAATTTAAAAACAAACGAAGCAACCAGTTAAGGTGTACGTCGGAAACAGAACAGACCACATTATCAGTCATACATATTCGGCGGCGGCCTTGTCACGGTGTCAAGGTCGGGGAGACACCCGATGACAACCGATTGTCATATTAACAGGTGGACGGCTAACATCGAGAGAGACTAGGGCGAACAGCAGCCTAGAGCGTAGCGTGGTACCGTGTCACTTTGTTTAGTTCAAAAATGTCAGGAAAAGTCATTCAGAAATTATAATGGTGACAGTCAAAAATATTTTACGCAGACAGGTGCGAATTTAAAAAAAATTGGGAGATGTTAATTTACTATTTCTATTAAATAAGAGCTATTTTTATATTTATAATAAAATAATTCCAACTTTAGGAACCATATCCTATGATTTATTTGAATTGGCGCTTATACGTTTAATATTAAAAAAAAAAAATTATAGGTGTCTCATTCAATTTTTATGAATGCAATTCATAAAATTAAAACTTTTTAAATAACCTACAAAATTTATCAAATTATAAAGATTGAAAAAAATATTTGAGAATTCTTTATAAAAAATGGTTTTAAAAATTTGTATTATAACATATACAGTGTATATGTGTTGCAATGAAATTTCATGTAGCTGATGTTTAAAAATTGCATTGTTTGATGCCAGGAAGGTGGATAAAATTAATATTTTATTTTTATTTTATCTTATACAGTACCTGCGTAATCTTTGAAGTCCCTTAGGATCGATATTTCATGGATTTTACAATTTTTCAGGTTATATTCTGCAGTTCTGTGGTATTCACCATAAATATATCCTCCTATAATTTATGTTCGTTATCATTTTTTTTATTCTATCTTTTTGAAAACAAGTAAAATTTATAAGTTTCAAGCACTTCAAAACTTTTCCACAAAAAGGTATTGAAAAATTTAAAGGGATAATTCTCTATTAAGAACGATTCTTAATCATTTTTGGGACGATGTACATATGCCACATAGAATGAGGAAAAACTCTGCATAGTGAGTTCGCGGCATAGTTGAGTCAAATATAGATAATATCTGACAAGGATGTTAATCATTGTTTTAAAAACACTTCGATGCGAATCTGTTAAATTTCTTGTATAATTGTGATTTAAAATTTAACTCAAATATTAAATATATGGTAAATTATTAACTTTGTTGAAAATATAGTTATTTTTGCTTTGATGGCCGATTTTTTATAGTAAAATAATCGTTGGAATTACATAATTATTATTAGTTTTTTTTTAATTTCTTAGATTGAGGGAATTTTCACATTTTCGATATTAATGACTTCAACTAGAAAAAAACTAGTTTTTTTGATGTATCAATTATTAAAATCATCCAATGAGAGATGACAATTTTTACGGAAAGACATAAAAATACACACAAAATAATACCTTCTCAGCTTTGAATCGATACTAAAAACACGATCAACAAAATCAATTTTTTTTGTCATTCGTTTTAGAGTAAAGTAAAGTCTTTCAGAGTCTGTTTGACAGTAGATCTTTTAAACTATTTGAAGAGTTTAAGAGCATTTATGTTTCTCTTTGCCAATAATTGATAAATAGCAAAGACTAAATAAATAGACGTATTATTTTTAATGGTGCGTCAAGTTATTTTTTTGAATTTCAAGGCACATATTAGCAACGTTAGTTTTTAACCATTTATTGAGTTTGTTCTAAAATTTCTCCGATACATCTAATTTTAAATTTAGATTTTAAAATCGCAAGTTTTTTAAAACATTATTTAAAATTGAAAAAACTCATTATCTTATGATGTTTTGACGTTTTTTTTTACTTTGTCTAGCAATTTTACGTAAAAGACAACTTTTTTCTTCGAAATGCATTTATAATTATTAAGTTTAATGCATGTAAATGAAGATAGAAAAGGATCCGAGATACTGATAAAAAAATTTGAGAAGTCTCTAGGAGAACTGAGTGACAAAAAAGCAACAGGAATTGACGATATTTAGTCTGAACTACTGAAAAATATAGGGGAAAAGACAAAATATCAATTGTATAAAATCATTAAAGATAGTTATAATATTGGAATTCTACCAATGGATTTTGTCAAACGTAGAACTATAACAGTTGCAAAGAAAAGCAATGCAACGAAGTGTGGAAACTATAAAACTATAGTGCTCATTTCTCATGCTTCAAAAATACTTCTAAACATTATTAAGAACAGATTGAGAGAGAACATAAAACAAAATATATGAAGATTAGTAATAGCATTTTAGCACTGAGACAGATCCTCGAGAGAAGAATTACATTGAATAGAAATACTATAGAAACATTCACAGATCTAGAGAAGGCTTTCGATAAAGTGGATTTGAGAATCTTATTCAAAATACGATTTATGACAATAAAATAACGAGACTTTTTTAATAAAAGTTATTTATTTTAAAAATTTTACAATTTAATGATTGTCACCTTCAAAGTACCTTCCCTCAGCATCAACACACTATTGCATACGTCGCCATTCTATGCCATTCTTGAAAACAATGTTGCCAATCGCTTTCACTTAGCCCTTTTAGAAGTTCTGCCGTTTTTATTTTTACGTCATCAACCGTTTGAAAATGGGTTCCTTTTAATAAACTTTTAATTTTTGGGAATAAGAAGAAGTTGCAAGGTGTAAGGTCTGGCGAGTACGGAGGATGTTGAAGTATAAAAATATTTTTTTCAGTTAAAAAACTTTGAATTGAAAATGCACTGTGAGCTGGAGTATTGTCTTGGTGAAAAACCCAGCCATTCTTCTACAGATCTGGTCACTTTTATATAACACGTTCTCTTAATTTAATTAATACCTCTATATAATAATATTGGTTGCCTACTAGGAACCCATTCAGCAAAAATTATTCCCTTAATGTCAAAGAAAACAATGAGCATTACTTTGAATTTCAACTTGCTCATTCGTGCTTTCTTCATTCTTGGGGAAGTTGGTGTCTTCCAATGCATGGATTGCCTTTTAGTCACAGGATCATATGTAAGAATCCACGTTTCATCACACGTAATGATATTATTTATAAAAGATGGATCACCTTTGATGATGTTTAAGGTGTCAGAACAAATTTCTTTGCGATTGAATTTTGGATCAATCGTCAAATTTTTAGGGACCATTTTAGCACACAATTTTTTCATATTTAAATTTTCAACTAAAATTTTACGAACACTTTCTCTATCAATATTTACCATCTCTGCTACAGCTCTAACACTTAATCGACGATCTTGCCGAATAATTTTGTCGATTTTTTCAACATTTTCGTTTGTTGAACATGTGGTAGGACGTCCAGAACGATCATCAACTTCAACGTCCTCTCTTCCATTGCAAAACCGTTTGTGCCATTCAAAAACGCTAGCTCTTGATAAAAATTCTTCACCATAAACTTCACATAACATACGAAATGATTCTGCGGCAGTTTTTTTTAATTTAACAAGAAATTTAATGTTAACACGTTGTTCAATTTTTATATCTAACATTTTTCGGCAATATAATCAAATTCGCACTAATAACAAGGTTACTAACGTATAAGAAAATTAACCGATTTCATCAGTGTTTATAGTACTTTTAGATAAGTGTTTCCTAATCATATTTCAATAAAAGTTTTATAGATAACGTTAATAGTTTAGGTTATATTTAGAAAATCTCGTTATTTTAATGTCACACCTCGTATTAAGAGAAAAAGGAATTGTTAGAAAAATAGACGGCTCATCTTCAACTTACATAAGGATCAAACAAAAGAAATAAATATAAATGAATCGGTAAATAAAGAAAGAATAAGGAGAAAAATGAGACAAGGATGTCGTTTAACGCCCTATCTATTAAATTTTTTCATTTAAATAAGCAAAAATATAATAAAAACCAAGACCAATAAAGGAGGGAAAATAAAAGGTTAACATATACACTGTATTCACTTTACGGATGACATTGTTATCTTAGCAGAATCTGAACATGACTTGGATAATATTCTAAATATTTGTGGCGGTCGAATGTTCTAGAATGTTCGGCCGCCGCCGCCTCTAGAAGATTCGTCGCTCTACATAAGCGTGTGGCGGTCGAATGTTCTAGAGAGTTCCGCCGCCGCCTCTAGAAGATTCCTCTGACTATTTAAGGGCAAGATCGTCGCTCCAGTCAATCAATCGATCAGTCAATCACTTACGCACTCTGTCTTAAACGCGCTTCGTCTCTCGCTGTTATTTGTTAGTTCGTTGTAATATAGTATAGTTGTTATTAAATCGTAAAAGTGTTTATTACTTCTATATATTACACCTCGCTACATATTCTATCAAGTGTACTTGATAAATTTAAAATGAAAATAAATTCTATAAAATTATTATAATACTAAAAAATAGTTATATCTTTTTCTTATTTTAAAATAAATTGTTTTCAATTATATTTTTGTTAATAACTTTTATTTGTAAATATATGAACTTAAATAATTATAACTATCAGATTTTATCATATTTTCATTCAGTTTTTCTTTGCCTCATTCCAATGACTTTTAAATTATTGATACTATGTAAAATATGATAATAATCTTATCACTTAAATTTTCATGTTAAAATCTGTCTCTATTTTGAAGTTAATATTCAAGATTTTTTTTTATAATTTAGTGTGTCACAGTTCTTTCTTTTAATGTCGCGACAGTCTATTTTTCTTATATGTCATATGATCAGTCATATATAAGTAATAAATTTACTTTTATTATGTTATACCCAATTTAACTTTAGAGACTTGGATCAATTATAATAAATATTCAATTATGAAATCCTGGCAACGCCATTGCCTATTACAGATATAGTTGTGCAAAATTCAAAACATATTTAGATTTAAGTACTAGACATTAAAGTCATTAGTTTCAAATGTATATATTACCCTCATCTTCAATTTTCAATGTTGCTGAATCTATAAAATGTAAACATTAGAAAAAATTGGATTTCTGAAGCGTTAAAATTCCTTTAAATTCTTTAAAAAGTGACAACAAAACACATTATAATTTATATAAATTTTTTCTTTTAATTTTTATATTCTGTAATATACTTCTTCGTAAAAAATATATTCCAAATATAATATTTAAATTTTAAAAATAAAATACGTTGCTTAAAACTAAAAAATGATAATTTACAAAAATGGGGTTTGAGGATTTTTTATTAATTATATTAAAACATTTATTTTTTCATATCGTTTCTTTTAAATAAAAAATTTCTAACTCAAAATAGATGATTTTTCAATAGATAGTTTTTAAAAATTAAAACATTATTAATGTTAATTAAAACTATTCAATTAAGGGGTCAGTAGATAAAGGTGATAATTAACTTTTTTAAGTAACTTGATGGAAGTATCATATTGAAGTTATAATATATAATACGGAGTGTTTCCTAAACTAAGCCTCACGGAATATCATTAAAAATATTAGAGCTAATTATATTTTTTTTTTTTTTACAATAATTAATCTTTATTGCGTTGCTTTGATTTTAAATTAATATTTTTGATTTAATATATTAATGAAAAATAACATTTCTAATTAATTTAAAAATATCAGGTAACGTTTTTATTAGGATGGTCCTTAATTTTAAATGTTTAAATTTTAGTTTCTGGAACCTCATAATTTTCTTTATCAACAAAAAAAATAACTTTTCAAAAATTTGGTTATAATTTAAAATATAATAAAAATTTTCGTGCTACAAGAGAGATAAAAATAGTTTAAATAGGATAATTTAATTGTTTTTTAAACTTTATCCGAAAAATATAAAACATCGCAAAAATGTACTGAACCATTATTAAAGAAATAAATGTTTTTTATAAAATATATAGTTTAAGTTTTGATAAAATTATTATTTTCCAAAATAAATATTAAAAAAATTGTTTTCTTGTTATAAGAACAAATTGATTTTTCAAATTATTCAAGCATGTTTAATTTAAAAAATATTTACATATTAATAAATATCTTTGTTAAATTAATTTATTTTATTTTTTATTTGCATATTTTAATAATTATATTTTTACCATCTAAAAAAGCACTCAAAGCTTTCTTAGTACTTTTTTGGTAAGCTTTTGTGTATTTGTGTATAAAAAGAAATTAATTAAATATATATAATAATAATTCTTTATTAATAAAATGTTTGTAAATTACTGGAAGTAGAATTGTAGTATTATATTGTAAGACCATACTGAAAATGTGGTCTTCAGTAATTTATTGTTTATAAAACGAAAAAACTTTTAACAATTTTTTAAAGAAGTTATATACTGGTTATATATGAACTCTAAGAAGTTTTTTAAACTGTTTATGACTTAAAAATTTCAATAATCTCTAAACGTGATTTGTAATAACGATATAATATTTAACGAAAAAATCAAACGTTTTCATATCAAAAACGTTTCATATGCGTGTAATATAATTTTTAATCTTTAATAAATTTAAATTTTAGTTAAACTTAAAACAAAAAAATATTTAATTTAAACTCTGAATAAAAAGAGCCTATAAAAATTTTCTAGGTCAATATTATTTTAAATATATGCGATTTTTATTGAAAATATTTTTTTTTTATTCATATACTAATACATTAAAAATTTACTAAGATTAATTAGTATTTATTAAGCAGATTAATAATAACTCATTTTTTATGAATATTGGGTATTGATCTGTTCCCAATGATAATTTTAACAACTCCTAGACTTTAATCTATACCGGTTTAAGCTATACGAGGACTAAACTATAATAGGACAGCAAGAATATATTTTCTTGACTTTTATTACTGGCTAACATTTTACTAATGTAAATAAATAATTAATGTTTACCTTTTCTTAAAAAAGAAGAATACAACAAAACTGAAAATATATTATACATATTTTTTCATTCAAATTTAAAAATTCATTAAATAGTATAGCAACAACACTGATTCATATGATCTTTTTTTAAATATTTATATTGATACAATGTATGTTATAATATGATAAATGTATTCAAACATTTCTGAAAATTGAAGAAACTCAAAAAACGTGTCCTCTATAACTTAAGTAGTGCTTATTTAACATTTCTATAGAAAATTTATAATTATATTCATGGAATATTTTGCCAAGTTTGCTATGTTTACAATAATCAATTATTGTAATATTATACTTTTAATTTCAGAAATTTTATTATTTATTTAATGTCGAACGGTATTTTACAAATATAAAACATTACATGAATAGGTCTTGAGTGATAGCAACCATAGTACTGAAGGGGTAACAAAAACGAGATACAAAGTAATAATAAAAAAATACTAAAATTGAAAAAAATATATAAGCCACAGACTTATTGGTTTATCATAAACCACAAAATAAATTAACTATTTAGTAAAAAAATATTTTTTTTTAGGCATATATTTTTTTAACTAGCTTATTCAATAGATAATGATTAAACTAAGAAAATGACAGTTCCATAACAACTTTTGGACCAGTATTTCAGAAGTTATTAACAATTTAAAGTAATGACTAGAGATGAAAAACGGGTGCTACTATCTTTATCGTTAGTCATTTCCCAGCCATACTATTCTTCCCGTCAAATGTAAAAATGAGAATAACTCTCGAAATATTGGTGCAAAATAGTTATCAACCAGTTATTTCCTTTCTTGGGTCATTTTTTATTATTTGAACTAATTAAATATATAAGTTTTCATCTCAAAAATTAAGTAACATTCCTATAAGTAATAAGGGATGATTCTAAAAAGTAATTAAAAGCTAATTAGTCAAAATATACAGTATAATTTTTTTATCATAATCCACTCAAATACTCGCAGAATAAAAATAACTTTAAATATTTTTTTTATATTACTTTTAGTTACATATTGTTATTGAATTATTAACTTTTTAATACTATTTAAGTTTATCCCTTTTGCCTTGTAAGGGTAGCTTTGTTTATTACAAATAACACTTTAAAATTGTTGAAAATTAACATTTATAAATACATCTACTGTCAAAACACAAAGCATATCTATCGATTAAGTCATTGTTTACAATAAACGATTCATACCTGTGAATAGCAACGTGTACAAAAGCAATTAGATGCTTATATTTGTAATCCCACGTATATTATACATACTAATAATATATGTAACTAAAAGCAAACAAAATTTTGTTTTCCATATGGTATTTATTTTGCGAGAAAATTAATGGTTTATGGTAAACCAATTACTTTATTTATAAACAGTAATATAACAAGGTAAATTAGCGTCAGTGGGTGGCAAAAAATACAAGTTCTTTAGATGACAAAGCATTCTATGTAAGAGATAATTATTATTGTACGAGATATAATTCAAAGGAATATGAAAATTTTCAAATTGGATAGGGTTTATTATAATTGTGATTTTATTTGATCAGTTTAATATTATTTCAAACTTACGATCTGTTAATAATTCAAAGGGAGCTGTAAATGCTTCTACATATTTTTCTAAAAAAAATACATGTATTTATATTGTTATTTTCACTTAATACATTCAATTTTTATTTTAACCAAAAAAAGTAATTTATGTTCTCATTTTTCATTTAAATGAAATCTCATGATTTATAATATAACATATTTATTATCAGGCCCATATTTAGGAGTTGTGCCGTCCAGGATATTTCTTCAATTCTTCCGCCCCTAACGACCTTACTATTGCTCATATACTATATGCTCATCAATTAAATTTTTCTCTATTTTTTTTTTTTTTTT